AATTGTGCAAAAAATGGCAACAAACACGATCATCAACTGATAAAACGAAATTAAATAGGAAAACTGCACAACTACGAAAACTTATCAATAATGTTAAAAACGATAAGATATAACAGAATCTTAGAAGCCTTTCCTATGAGAAACGCACATATTATTCGCTGGAATCCATAATCCTTCTATTAAAGCAGATGGTACAACATGGGCCAAAAGTGACGAAGAAAAACCAAATTTATTCGCAAAATTTCTTAAGGCAACATTCTCACTAAATGATTATAGAAATAATCTTCCTACGTCTAACTTAAATGCATTAAACGAAACAATACAACCAACTTCGCTAAGAGAAATAAAAAATGAAATAAGAAATATTAAACTAAAAAAGGCTCCTGGTTGGGATCAGATAACCGCTGAGATCTTAAACCAATTTCATAACAAAGGAATAATAATAATAATTAATGCAGCTCTGCGCTTAAGACACTTCCCAATTTATTGGAAAGTAGTGAAAGTACTTATGGTCCACAAACAAGGAAAACCTGCTAATGAAGTTTCGTCGTATCGTCCAATTTCTTTATTACCCGTTTTAACAAAAAACTTTGAACGAATTCTCCTTAATAGAATACAGATTGTTCTAACAAAAAATCAAATAGTTTCGATTCATTAGTTTGGGTTCCGAAAAAAACATTCTACTGTAGAACAAATACACAGAATATGCGACAAAATCGAAAGAGCACTTGAAGAACAAAAAATTTGCACTGCAGTATGCCTAGACGTATCGAAAGCCTTTGATAAAGTTTGGCACAAAGGACTTGTGCATAAAATTGAACAGTGGTTTTCGAGACAGATATCCGAAATTATGTGGTCCTACTTATCTTGCCGATTCTTCAGAGTAAAATATAAAGTATGTACGTACTCAATACTTGAACCAATGCAAGCCGGAGTACCGCAGGGAAGTATTCTTGGCCCAATTATGTACCTAATTTACATAGCCGACTTGCAAGTCCCACCAGAAAGTGTTATTGCCACGTTTGCAGATGATACAGCGATCGTTACCACTGGAAACACCATAAACGAATCAACGCAACATTCCATTGATCAAATTATGAGTTGGACTAAAAAAGGGAAAATTGAACTTAACCAAGCAAAATCCGTCCATGTAAATTACACAAACAAAAAAATCAACTATAAAATCAACATATAAAGAAAAAACGAGTTCAACTAGAATCCAAATACAAAAATTTATGTTGGCTTCTTGGGAAAAAATCACCCGTCTCTATAAACAACAAATTAATGATATACAAGCAAGTCTTAGCTCCGGTGTGGACGTATGTAATCCAGTTATGGGGATGTGCACCAAAATTCTCTATTGAAATCATTCAAAACTTTCAAAACAAAGTTTTAAGAAATTTAGTAAACCCACCGTGGTTCATTAGGAATACTTACCTCCATCGGGACTTGAAGATCGAATCTGTGGCTGCAGTAATTCAAAAGTTCGCGGTGAAGCAACAAAAACGATTACAACAGCATCCAAACGAGACAGTCAGCCATCTGACTAACACATCTGGCCTGCTGAGGAGATTTAAACGAACAAATCCTTCAGATCTACTCCCGAACTAGTAGTTTAATAAGTCTAATAATAATTTAGATTACTACTCTATTAGCACTAAGTCTTTGACAACTTGACAATTTTAAAACGTATTCCTAAATATAACAAAACTGCTTGATAGTTCTTTGCACTTGAACTAGTCGTAGTCAAATGAAACATGTATTTATATTATTGTACATATTGTGTTTCAAATAAAAAAAAAAATTTCGTGTGCAAAAATTGACCAATTGTTCCGTATGACCAGCATTGCCTTCCTTTTCTGACGTGCATTGAGTTCCTTAGTCCACTTTAGCATTTGCACCATTGTATCCTCCTTTTTGGTAGTGATTTCTTTTACCAATACTGCAAAATTTGCACTACAATTAACCTCAGCTGAAACCTCTTGACATTGATCAATTATTGTCCCTTATTATATAAACTTTGGTGTAGCAGATAAGCTCAAGAGTCGGACCATATATTTTTGGCTCTACTAATGTTTTTCCGAGTAATATGTTGTTCATTCGGATATTTCTAACAGCATCAACGACCCACAACTTACTTGTACTTCTCTCTCCACCTATTTAAGCCAATATGATCGCATCTGAATTCGATAGTATTTGCTGATTTTGACACAACCGGATCTGTTTTACCCTGCTACTGCGCTCATATTCAGTATTTAGTGGACATTCGATATCCATGTATCGTAACATTTTTCTACTTAAGTCCAGTGTAATTCCATGCGTGATCATAAAATCTATATCAATAATCACGTCAGCGATGATATCGGCGACCACAAATTCATGTTGAAGTTCGTACCCACCTATAGTGATTTGTTTCGTGACCTTTCCCAGTATCGATGCCTCTTTACTCATTGATGTTCTGAGTTTTAGACCAGCCAATGGTGTAAAATTTTTCTAGGCACATTGTTAATTTTCCCATTAATGGTTAGGCTATTCGGTACCCGCTTTAACTGTAAGATGACGATGGTGGGGCAATCATTTGCGGGAGTCAGTTCATGTCACTTCGAACTGACTCTTTTTGGTTTAACGAAGGCTTATTCTTAGCCTCGTTAAAATTACTACCAGACGTTTCTTTTCCGATGGAGAGCTTGATCGTGACCGTTTTCCATGTTGACGACAGTCTCGCGCCATATGTCCAAGTCTATCGCAGATAAAACATCTTCCATTAAACTTGTTGCCATTTCTAACTAAGGCAACTTTCATCTGACGCATCACTTCTACCAGGTCATCCGCTTCAGTTTCTATTTTTCATATTTTTACTGTTAGACGACACATAATACCGGCAGCTTTGTACGTCAATGCGCTGCTGATTGTTTCAGAGTATGTCTTCTTCGTGAACACTACGACCGGATGCTTGGTTTCCGGATCCTGTATTCCGTCTATGAAAGTGTCCATTTTACTCTTCTCCATAAAATCATTAGAGATACCAATATATGGCAAATTACACAAACGTTAAATATCGACAGAGTATTCTTGAAGACTCTTCGAAATACGCTGAATTCCAGCTTTAAGTTCTACTCTGTGCAATGGAGTCATAAAATCGTTACCATACTTGCGCTTCAATGCTTCCATTACCGCTTGGTAGCTTTTACGTTCTTCGGGTGGAATTTGCTGTACAACTTCTGCCTCACTACCTTTTAGTGCCACAATTAGAGATGCCATTTCTCATCAACATTCCAATGATTTGTTTCGGCCGTTTTTTCAAATTATAGTTTGAAGACTTCAAAAGTTACGCTTTTATCAAATGTCGGTGGTTTTAGTTTAACTCCATCAGTTTCACGAACAATGGCTGAAGACGACCTACTTACTTGCATATTTTCAATTCGGCTTTTCAACAGAACTATCTCATCTATTAAGACGTGGACATTCTGATCACTCTGGTCTATTCTTCCCGATCATCTTTCCTGAACTGGTTGCAACTCCATCTTTAGTTCGACAGAATTTTGTTATAATTTCTGCGTGATTTCCAACTTAAGCTCATTAGACTGTTATTTCAACTTGCGTAAGCTTAGCGCCTGTTCATTTCCTCTTTTAGCATAAGTGTAGTGTTAATATTTTTGTATAAAAGCTTAAGATTTTCTAATAAAGAACCAATTCAAAATCTGAAGTATTTTCTTTGGTTGAAGTGTTTAAGGAACCTTGAACAAATTGGTTTATGTGCCAAATTTGTAACAACAATTAAACAGTTATATTCAAGTAACTAGTTAAAGGGCTAGATTACTTGCGTGGAGCTAAGTTGATTAAAATGCCGAATTATCAAATCTGTATCAGACTAGATACGTATCATGTTGGAGCAACATAACATCAAACTTAACTGCTCTACCCTGTATATCTATTTGTTTTGACTTTTATATTTTACTGTTGTGTCTTTTGAGAGGTGATACTTGGTTCCCGTTGAATGAGAGACAATTTTTGCATTGCGGGAGATTCACTGTTTTTTCAATTCTGAAGCTGACTATACAATTTTAGTAATAAACTTTATTACCTTCGGCAAACTTAAATATTGGAAAGTAAAATTACAATTAATTACAATTAGTATATATAAATTCTTTCGTACATTACTTTTGTAAATAAATTCTATTAACTTATTTATATTAATATACTGTGAATTTAAATTACAATTAACGTAATAAATATAAAAGCGTTTTGAAAATAAACTCTAAATTTGGTTTTCGTGTTGCTTTATTACTTGAGCGTAAACAGATCATAACAACGTGCATATATGCAAGATTTGCCCTTTGCCAAAACATAACACTAGACAGATTGCAACAGTGATGTCAATGTTTCGCTTAGCGAATATAGGTCAGCATGTGTTTTTTTGCTACATTTTCGAGCCACCGAAAACATCTAATATTATACTGCAAATAAAGTTGATTTTGTAAATATAATCAATTTCATTTATATATGTTTTTAATATTGGAAACACAGTCTTAGCAAACTATCTGTGAATGGAAAAACATTGTACGCTGCGCAAAAAGTAAGCGCACATACTTAATCGTATATATCAGGGCTGTCCAAAGTATGGCCTGCAAGCCACATGCGTTTCACGGCTAATGTTTGTGCGGCCCGCAGCTAATATTTATGCGGCTCGCGACTAATGTGTTTAATTTACTGCACTTACGCAAATTTTTTTTTGAAATACTGTTAAAACTATATTATTTTATTTTTATGATTATGATTTAAATTGATAAATTAGTAAAACTAAAATTAACTTTATAACCGTATTTATATTAATATAATGTATTTATAATAACAAATATGAACGGATGTATTTGTTTCTGTGACCCTTCAATAGTAGTGTGTATTGGTCTGTGATCGCATCTGGTTTGGACAGCCCAGATCTATATCATGCTTTATAAACAGTTTTTTTGTATTATTATAAGCAATTAAGAACAACTTACTCTGGATCAAAAAGTTCGCTAAGATTGCTTCCAATTGGGTATGCAAAAGATCGTTTCTTTTTTAAAAATGGTTTTTTCGCCATCGCAAATGGGCAATGTATTTTTTCATTATCCACACTGATGGTTTTTCTATAGCGGTAATCAATGTATAATGCGTGGTTGATTGCTGGCCGATCTCTAACGAAAACATATCCATCTCCTTCAACAAATGTGCGTAAATTTGACGTATCGTTCTGCTCTTCAGAAAACACAGCATGGTTGCTTTTTATCATGTTGTTCAGCAACGAGAGATCTTCGTTTTCCTGTTAAAGTTATATTGACAAAGATTAGTTCAATAAATTCTGAAGGAGTAAAACTTTTTAAAAAAAACTTGTGGTGATTTCAATGTACGAACAATACATTATATTTAAAAATTACGAGTATATAAAACAACATAAATATTACATACACTGCAGCTTCAATGTATATGTTGGATACGTATTATTTAGTTAATTTCTTGAATACACTTTATTTGAATATAACTTTTACACAATAAAATATTTACACTAGTCCCAGATGCTGGCCTCTTTCCTTGATCGTATGAACGCGAATGAACGAATGGAAATGCACAAGTGCTAGTGCCGTTTTCATGCATTATTTGCCTGCCAATATTCCTTGCCGTTCACATGTTCTAACATGTGTTTTCGGCTAGTGCTGCTACAATTAATTTGTGAATTGTCGTATGCGAGTTTTGGCTAACTAGATGTATTAATCTAGAACCGTTATCACAGCTGCGCAGCTGTAAGGTATTCACTGCAACTGAGATTTTATCAGGTCACATTGAGATCTTTTATAATTTTAGTAATATTTTGTATTACTGTTATATAATTAATATAATATAAAATAATAATATATAATATGTGTTATATAAGTGGACTGCACGAGGGATATAGGTTTGAAATTGGCAAAAAAGTGGTTTTTAAAGCATCATTTGGAGTACATACATTTTTCAAGCGTTTTACAAATATGTCCCCTTTCTTAGAGTCACTTCGTCGAGTTTTAAATAGGGATTCTAGTTTATTTAAGTGTATTTAAAGTTCGGTTATCATGACTTATCATACTTTATGATGTGTTAACAACTTAATTAAAAATAGCTTACATAAATCAATTATCTAATTTATTCAATATATAAATATGTGTTTTTATACATAAAAGTTAGGGAATGCATATATATCTATATTTATATGTACATACAGGGTTAGTCAATTAAAATATTATCAACACAGAGATATATATCAAACTGATATTATAAACTACTTCAAATTCATAACAAAATGACAAGCATTTTGTGTCTAAGTTTTATAGAACAAAAGTAATGCGAAATGGAATTCAAATGTATTAGTGCTGCAACACCTCAAAGCAAATAAAATGTTTGTGTATCGTACCATTAATCGTTATAATATCAAACGTAGTAGTGGATGAAACAAAACAGCATCATCACCTGAAATGGTTCGGAAAGTGAAAGCTCTACTTAAATGAAATTCACATCGTAGTGGTAATCAAATGGTCAAAGAACTGAAAATATCTCAGTGAAGCATCCGACGAATATTCCAAAATCAGCTCAAGGCTCTCAAGATGTCTTATAAGTTCTAATAGGAACAAGATCTTAAACCAAAGCAACAAAAAGTTAGACTCGAAAGAGCAAAGGTGTTGTTACGCTTGCACAAAAGTGGCGCATTTCCAAACATTTAGTTTATAACCTTTCAAAATGAGCACGAAATGAAGCACTGCCAAGACTACGAATGGCCACCCGATTTAATTTTTCAGCTCAAGTAATGGTATGTGCAGCAGTGACCACCGATAAACGCTCTTCAATTGTTTTGATCGAGCCTGGTGTCAAAGTCAATGTAATTTGTTTTCGGGAAAATGTTAAGAAAGTTGCTTTAGAGCCGTGGGCATGCAAACATTTCGATCGTAGAAACGTTCAAAAAAGATGTCACCATGTCACAGAGCTCGTGTGAACTACTAATGGTTAAAAAATCATGCTCCACACTTCAATACGCCAGATGCAAATCCGATGGTTTTTTTCATATGGGTCATTTTTACGAGCAAGGTGAAGACTAAAAAGTATGTTAATATGGATTCGCTAAAGAAAGCCATTGTTTAGGAATGAGCTGTATCCGAAAGCTGTATTTTTCATAATCATGACAAAAGGTAGCCATATCGAGGTAGAGTAAATTAATTTTGAAACTTTGATTATTTCCACAAATTTTTGAAATTATTGTGAAATAAAGGCAATCTTAGTGCGCGAACAGACTAAGAGGTAGAAGCATTGGAGTGGTAGCCTTTCCGTAATATTCCTAGGAAGGCAATATCGTTCTTCTAATTTGCCAAAATTAAAACTACCTTGCTTTTCTGGAAAACACGCTGATTAGATGAGTTGGTTTAATACAGTTGTGACATTAGTTAATTCAGTTGTGGAACTAGATGAACAAATTCGAAAAATTTGTACATTTTGCCTAGATTTGGTACCGTTGTTAACTATTGAGGGATTAGAGTTATCTGCGGCAAACTATAAAATACCGCTAGGACATTTGAAAGAGAGGTTTGAAATTTGACCAATAAATTACAGGCACATTTTAGACAGCTTACTAAATTGTCCTATATCTGAAAGAAATGAAAAGTAAATGTTAAAAATTGCAAAATGAAAATTGCCAATGACGAGTTGTTTTTACAACTCGTCATTGGCTTTGCTATCAAAATTTTAAGTGAATCAACATGTTGTGTTAGTAAACCGAAAATTAACTCGCAACGTTGTGTATAAAATTCAAAAGAAGCAAAATAATAAGCAAAGTAGTTCTGTGTTGATAGCTGCATTTAATTTTATATCAAAAGTTCGGTGTTATAGTTGTGAGGGCAAGAATTCGCCCTTGACATTGGGATATGTCAAGAATTTCTTGAACTCTTGAATATCGCCGTTACAGCAATGTTATGACGCTACAAAGTATTCATTGTGTTTGATTTGTCTAGGAAAACGACATTCTAGAATACATTCATAGGGGTATCGATTTCGTTCCCGCATAAACTCATAAGAAAACTAAAAGAACTGCCCTTCATAGCAGATTGTTGCCTACTACTTCGAAATGCTTTTTAGCCGCGGCAATGGTGTCCGCATGTGGTAATAAATTTCATAAAGAATGTAAGTGTATTCTAAACGTAGAAAGCCAGTTAAATTTATGATAGTAAAGATATTGAAACTTGACGTAGAATCCTCATAGTCGTGCGTTTATGGTTCGTTTCAGTTTTTTTGTATTAGATAGCGTTGCGCATGTACACCTAATATACACGTTAATGTAGACAAAAGGAATCTGCCAAAAAATATGAAATTAGCAGACCCAGGGAAATACAACGATTCAACCCAATCTGACTCCAACCGAATTGAGTGGCAAAAGTTTAAGAGTTATCATTTCCCGAGAGCTGGCATAAGACTAAATCGAAGCTTAACCCGGCTGAAAGCATGTACCCTACTAAACTTACAGGTTGTGATACAAAGAACCAGCATTCCTAAATCTTTACGAAAATCGTTAGTCACAATATAGTTTGCGAATAATTAATGAATCGATATCTAAAGAAAGAAAACACATAGTCAGTTTATTTTGTAAGCCTAGCTACAATTTGGAAGATTTAGTAAGTACGTGAAGATATAGTAATAAATCCGGCAAGCTGCAAAGAGTGCTTAGTTTTATTTAGACGGACTGACCGCGTGCGTTTACAAATACAAGATTCAGTGAAAGAGTTAGAAGCGTGTCAGAGTTGAAAGGTGGGCTTGATTTCATGGTGTTTAACATTCAGAATGTTTGTTGAAGTGACGTAATTAATTGTACAACCTCAAACTAGACTGTTAAAAGTTCAAAAATTCAGGGATTAAGCCCATTTATCTATACCAGGGGCCCCACGCCAATCGAGTAGGTGGGCGATTAAAGAATACCTCGGTATCATTCCGGCTAAGCACTCAATTTTGATGCCAAATCATCACGACACTTAGCTCACAAGGTCGTTCAAAGCTGCTTGGATTGCCTTCGTCAAAATCCAATGACGTCAACATAACTCATGGGTTCTCTGAACTCCCATCGAGTCGATGGAGGGGTTTTTCCATTTATAAATATATGCATTGACTTCGGCAGTCCAATTAAAATCCATTTCAACATACGCGGAAAACAACCTAATAAACCATACTTATGTCACTTCGTTTGCATTTCCACTGAGGCGATACATATTGAGGTGGTGTAAGACTTAAGTAGTAATGCATTTATTGCCTGTCTGAAGTGCTTCTTTGCCAGCTTCAGTGTTCTTTTAATGTGTGACAGTGCGATCAATTTCGTATGAGCTTCACGAGAACTAAACGAATTAGCTGAAGAGTTCCTTCAGACTTCCTCAAGAAATCATGTAACAAGTAAGCGTGCCAATCGAGACGTGAATTTTCATTTCGTTCCACCGAGATCACCCCATTTTGGCTGCTTATGGAAACGCGCGGCGAAATTGAAAAATCCCTGCTTGTTTATCGATTGAATGGTACATCATTAACCTTAGAGAAATTAAGTATTGCTGTAGCTCAAGTGGAAGTGATTATAAACTCTCGACCTCTCTGCCCGCTATCCACCGATACAAATAACTTCCAAGCCTTGAAATCATATCATTTTCGAGGTGATGCGGAACATTGAAGTGCAGTTGGAAACTTAAGCGGCTGGTTGTTTCATCAAGTAAAAAACAAAAGAATAAATCTGAGACCTGCAACCAATGACGCATCAACTGATATCCCAAATCACCTGTGGAACCTATTTATGCAGTATTAAAAATGCTTTAGAATCTTAAGAGTACTAGTGTATGCAAAAACCATGGCGAGTTCTATTTAATTCTACAAGTGCGCTAAGAAATTGTTAGTATATTTAGTATTTAGTTTTATTTTGAATTTATTATTTTAAATAAGATAAGCCATTAGAAGTAGTGCTGCCAAACTTCGTTACTTTTGCGTATTTGTAACTACCCATTACTTTTGGAATATGTGTTCGTTACTTAGTATTCGTTGTTGCGGTTTCGTTACTAAGGTTACAAAGTTTTTTTTCGGCAATAAAAGGAATTTTTAAAAGAATGTATATTAATATAATAAAATATAGTTTTAGTAAATTAGAATAATTATTTGATTGAATAGTTTAAAATGAATCCAAATTTCGCTTTTTTTATATTAATGTTTTCAGGCATTTTTATTGAATTTGAAAAATAATTTGGTTGAAAATAAAGTAGTTACTATTATACCGCGACCACA